GAAACTGTCGTCAAGGTGTGATCCAGGAATTTGACGTTATGCAGCTATTGTAGTAAGGCAGAAACTGTCGCCATGGCGTGATCCAGGAATATGACGTTATGCAGCTACTGTAGTAAGGCAGAAACTGTCGTCATGGTGTGATTCAGGAATGTGACGTTATGCAGCTATTGTAATACGGTCGAAACTGTCGCCATGGCGTGATCCAGGAATATGACGTTATGCAGCTATTGTAGTAGGGCAGAAACTGTCGTCAAGGTGTGATCCAGGAATTTGACGTTATGCAGCTATTGTAGTAAGGCAGAAACTGTCGCCATGGCGTGATCCAGGAATATGACGTTATGCAGCTACTGTAGTAAGGCAGAAACTGTCGTCATGGTGTGATCCAGGAATATGATGTTATGCAGCTATTGTAGTAAGGCAGAAACTGTCGCCATGCCGTGATCCAGGAATATGACGTTATGCAGCTATTGTAATAAGGTCGAAACTGTCGTCATGATTGTGATCCAGGAATATGACGTTATGCAACTAGTGTAGTAAGGCAGAAACTGTCGCCATGGCGTGATCCAGGAATATGACGTTATGCAGCTATTGTAGTAGGGCAGAAACTGTCGTCAAGGTGTGATCCAGGAATTTGACGTTATGCAGCTATTGTAGTAAGGCAGAAACTGTCGTCATGGTGTGATCCAGGAATATGACGTTATGCAGCTATTGTAGTAAGGCAGAAACTGTCGCCATGCCGTGATCCAGGAATATGACGTTATGCAGCTATTGTAATAAGGCAGAAACTGTCGTCATGGTGTGATTCAGGAATGTGACGTTATGCAGCTATTGTAATACGGTCGAAACTGTCGCCATAGTGTGATCCAGGAATATGAAGTTATGCAGCTATTGTAGTAAGGCAGAAACTGTCGCCATGGCGTGATCCAGGAATATGACGTTATGCAGCTACTGTAGTAAGGCAGAAACTGTCGTCATGGTGTGATCCAGGAATATGATGTTATGCAGCTATTGTAATAAGGTCGAAACTGTCGTCATGATTGTGATCTAGGAATATGACGTTATGCAGCTATTGTAGTAAGGCAGAAACTGTCGTCATGGTTTGATCCAGGATTATGACGTTATGCAGCTACTGTAGTAAGGTCGAAACTGTCGTCATGATTGTGATCCAGGAATATGACGTTATGCAGCTATTGTAGTAAGGCAGGAACTGTCGTCATGGTGTGATCCAGGAATATGACGTTACGCAGCTGCTGTAGTAAGGTCGAAACTGTCGTCATGATTGTAATCCAGGAATATGACGTCACGCAGCTGCTGTAGTAAGGTCGAAACTGTCGTCATGATTGTGATCCAGGAATATGACGTTATGCAGCTATTGTAGTAAGGCAGAAACTGTCGTCATGATTGTGATCCAGGAATATGACGTTATGCAGCTATTGTAGTAAGGCACACATGATCCACACACAACTATATGGCCTAATACATGCATAAGCATAGACTGGTAGTATGGACCAGAAATATGACGTTATAATGCCATAAGAAGGACACTGTAGTTGTTTGGTGTTGGATACGATCCACGAAGAATTGAAATGACATGATTCAGGCCTAGACATAACTAAATGTAATGATATAAACAAGGAATGATATGACGTTATCAGTCCAATGTCCGACACACCTGTGGGAACGACAGTCCATCGTCTATCGTACATCCTGATCCGTCCAGCTTGTGAAACTATTTCAGCGGGCTGTAGGTTACGCCAGAAGTGAAGCGACTGAAGGAGACACGGGTATAGAACGGAAGTGGACATTATCCTCAGCTACAGAGTGGCTGGCCGAGAGTGTTCACGGTAGGGCAAGGGGGTCGTGGAGTAAGGCTTCACATTATTATAGTCCCTGTGACAGCTACTGCTGCACCTGTGTCAAACACGTACACTGAATCACAGCATATCTTATTTATAGTATAGCCTACGTCATATGTACACGTCGTTCTTAAACTTTACGGACTATAAAATTTTAACGCCTACCTGAAATAACCTGTCAGATGCCTGTGAATAGAACGACATCTGTAATTTTGGTTTATTACGTTTGCGATAACCTTTCATATTGACTTTCAGTGCTATCAATCATGTCTCGAGTTCCAGTACTGACAGACATGCAGATATGACACGTTCCCTTGTTGTACAAAAAAGAACACACTCTACAGGTAGTATGCAGGTTGGTAGGTGGGCAGTAGATAGATTAGCAGGTACATGTAAATAGGGGGTAGGCAGGTGATTGACAGGTGGACATGTACATAGAAGTGGGGATACAGGTAGGTAGGTAGTTGGACAGATACATGCAGGTAGGTAGGTAGGTACTTAGACAGGTGGGTAGGAGGGACAGGTGGTAGATGCCGCGATAGGTAGGTACATGTAAGTAGGTAGATTGATAGGCAGGTACATGTCAATAGAGGAAAAGCAGTTGATTGACAGGTGGATATGTACATAGAAGTAGGGGTACAGGTAGGTAGGTAGTTGGACAGATATGCAGGTAGGTACTAAGATAGATGGGTAGGAGGGAGGGGTGTAGGTAGGTAGGTAGGTAGGTAGGTAGGTAGGTAGGTAGGTAGGTAGGTAGGTAGGTAGGTAGGTAGGTAGGTAGGTAGGTGGACGGGCACTCTGTGAAATATTATGGGTTCAAGTACAAAAACTTCCATTTTCATAATTCTTAATCATACGCACATAAATGTGACCCTTATAATATAGTAGCTAAGAAGGCAGAATTCAAAACCCGTGAAATGACAATACATAGAGATGTACGGATGGGTAGGTAGACATATATTAAAAGTTAGGTAGACTTGGGTGTACATGTATGTTGTTTAACACATGTGATTCCCATCATCGTATCAAGCAATACGGCAGGGGTATGTTGATAGGACTTCATCACGTCATCAATCCTGACCATCCGATCCATTTAGTCGCCTCTTACAACAAACATCGGTTACTGGGCACCTGTTGTAACCCGGAATCCCCACGGGGGTGTTGGGGGTAGATAGATATGTAGTTGTTGTGGTTGTGTCCTGGCTCGTATACCTTTTTCTTCTTCTTTATTCCATGATTTAGTATCACATATACAAGTCACGGTTGTATAATTAAACTTTACATGCCTATACCTGGCTAGAGGTTACAAGGGCTTTGTCTGTCCTGTTAGTAAAAACTAGTTTTCATATAATAGGAAGAGGAAATAAGAATAGTAGAAATCAAGGAACAGTAAAGGAGTAAGAATAAGATAGTGGTAGATGTGGAATGTTTAAATTGATCACACCTATTATCTAATTACTAAGCGATAGTTTTGTCGCCAAACAATATATCCTAAAACTGATTTTCACCATTTCTATACGTTTCCATTTTATGTGTTTGTATATGATGTTCAGCAGATGTTCAAAACGTTCTGTACATTTACATCTATATATGTTTTGTTGTGTGTTTGAATATAGGGGATTTAATAGCATCCTATGTTCAGGGCTATCAAGAAGAAAAGACCTATAATCTAAACCGACCAGTACGTTTGTGTTGGATTGTTCCATGTCACAAATTGCTGTATGAATTCCTGTACTTTGTTGCAAGTGAAGAAAATGTGTTCTAGCGTTCCAGGTCCATTGTCACAAACAGAACATGAACTGTCATCACATCTGCCTAGTTTGTGTAGTAATGAATCAGTAGTAATAATTCTGTGAATAAGTTTATATTGAACGTTATGCGTTTCATTGTCAATTGTTGGTTCTTGAGTTAATTCAAAGCATCTAGATACGTGTTCTCCTGTTACGGAGGTTTCTAATTTGATTTTTTTCCCATTTTGAACGTAAGTAGTTTATATTTGAATTGATCTGTTTCTGAATCAGTTTATATTATACAAGGTTAGAGACGTCTGTGTCGGGAAGACGACCCCATATGTTAAACATATGTTCATTGTTGTTCTGAGTGCGTCTTTCCATTTTCCCGGATGTGCTTTTTAAGTTCGAATTGTGACAGGAAATTCCCTTTCAGGTCAAATTTTCATTTTAACTCTTAAACTGTTTTAAGATTCCCGTTTGGTTTAAGAATCTGCTTCATTGTCTGAATACATCGTTTATGCCATCTAACAAAATAGTTCATATCTTACAATGGCACGTTGTTTAAGGAAGAAAGTTTTACAAATTGATTACTAGTATTGTTCGCAATGTTATCTTCCTTAATTAAGCAACCGTTTGAGATCACATCTTTCCCAAACTTTGTTATCTACATTTCTAGTGATTGTATGAAGGTTTCGTGTTTAGAAGTGATACAGATGTATGTCGCCACGGGAGAAATAAAACAGACATGGCTCGTGCATGTCACATACATGTTGAATTAAACAACCACCTTACCCATTGGATTTTCATGTATTTACAAAAGGCAACTATGTCAGTCATTTGAGTCCTCCTTCGCTGTAATCATTCGATAACATATGACGTTAAATTGTGTCACGCCCACCGGGCCGAATAAATTTAAAAATAGAGAGTTGAGCCGTTTAAAGTAGTTATTATTTGGGCCAGGGGAGTGCAGTTAATAGATGTGTGAAAAGGGGTATGATTTGGGTTTTAGTGTTCTTCCTCTGACTGACTGACTGACTGACTGATATAGGAGATTTAACGTGCGCTTTCCGACTGTAGCTTATTTCGCACACGGGTTCTTCCTCTCGTTTTATTCGCCTTTTATAACAAACATCGGGTACTAGACACCAGTTCTAACCCGGAATCCCCACAACGATTTCAGGTAGGTAGGCTGATATATAGATATCCATTATGTAGGTAGGCAGGTAGGTATATTAAAGAAATAAACGCCGCGTGGGAGTTGTTTATCGTACAATAAAACACTGTAGGGAGAATAAACCATGAGACAGACTATTGGGTAGGGAGATGAAGATTGGCAGGTATACAGATTAGTAGATAGGCAGATAAGGATATGCTGGTAGCCATAGCAACATCTCTTATTCTTCTGCAACAGTGACTGACCCCAACAGCAGCCTACAGGACAATTCTCGGACCTTGACACTGTAGACCTCAGACTCAGAGGACACCCTTTACAAGTCACTAAAGCGGACCGGCTTTTGCAGAAGGCGTATATGACGTTTGGTGCCGGAATGGCCGTCGGGAGGGTAGGCGAGTGAGGCATACATGGCGGTCATGGGCAGTCGTAAGAAGAGCACAGTTGTACCACCGTGTGAGTAGCTCGATGTGTGTGTGTGTGTGTGTGTGTGTGTGTGTGTCTGTGTGCGTGCGTGCGTGCGTGCGTGCGTGCGTGCGTGCGTGCGTGCGTGCGTGCCAGCGTGTGTGTGTGTGTGTGTGTGTGTTGAATGACGTGCATGTGAAAGAAACCATGTACGATGCAACACAAATCTACATTTTCAATGGCTGCGCCACTAACGGAAATAACAAAAATTTAATTCACTTGTTGAGCAACCTCGTATTAGGTATGATATATTTCATAGGTTACAGTCAGCTGGGTGTCATCGACGAGGACTCTGATGACGTCACGCTGAGACGCAGACATTTCCAGTATGACGTCATCCCGGAAAGCCAAGAACCCTCGGATCTGGTTCAGGTGGTGGAGACCGCCAACAGGCTGAATTTGAGGACCCAGCGGGCGAGTATAACTGCCTGGAAGGCTCAGTTTGTTGGCACACCGCGCCTCCCGGACTTGAACCAAGGTGCAGAGGGTCAGGAAGATGCCAAGTTGACGACAGAGAGGAAGAGAAAGATCAACCAGGCTCTGGACTGGATCCGGACTGAACTGGTACAAACACCATATTAGTAGTCGCTGACTTACTGGGGTCCGTGGTATCTGTAATTCCATCGATCCTTGCGTTCAATCCTATCTCGAAACATGTCTCAATATTGTAATGACATCTCAATATTGTTGAACAATATTGACAGCTTCAGATTCATTTTATCGTAGATTGTTTTGCACTTTCAAGGTTAAAGCTGATTCTCAAGGTTAAATGAGAAAACTGAAACACAATTAAATCTGGTCGAGAATGGTCGAAGGGCATGTCATGGTATGCCAATTGCGTAGATCGATGCTCAAAATCCCAATCACTGGATTGTCGGGTCTAGACTCGATTATTTACAGACCGCCGTCATATAACTGGAATATTGCTGAGTGCGCCTTTAAACAAATATATACGACCGCGGTATCGGAAATGAATTCTCCAAATAGTTTGTTTACGCACATTCCAGCTTAACTATAAACACGGGGTGATGGAGCTCTACTTGACGAAATGCTGGAAGACTTGGATTCCAAGTGTACAATATCAGCGTTAACCGCCGTAAGGTTCGTTATCGATAGAATAAGGACGCGCAGGATGCATTAACGTCATGAGGTAAAGATGTTGGCAAATTTTAATCCCGGTCTAAATACTCATAATACATAGGCCTATAGCATACAACAGAAATCAGTTTCAAGTGGTTGCTGTGCAATGCAACTCTTTCAACAGTATCGCATACTGGATACACATGGAAAAGTGGCGAAGTGTACACGTTTCATCAGTAGACACTGAAGTTTTAAACTGAAACCGTTACAGGCATGACAAATTCTATACAAGTGTTGCAAACAATGTCATCTCACACCCTTTACCTCAGTAAGTGAGTGAGTGAGTGAGTGAGTGAGTATGGTTTTCCGCCGCTTTTAGCAATATTCCAGCAATATTACGGTGGGGGACACCAGAATTGGGCTTCACACATTGTACCCATGTCGGGAATCGAACCCGGGTCTTCTGCGTGACGAGCGAACGTTTTAACCACTAGGCTACCCGACCCTCCCTCCTTTACCTCAGATCCGTACACAAGAATATCACAACCAAATCTAAGGTTTTCCAGTAAAAGCGATACAAAAGCGACCCTTGCCATAAGGAATCTCTGTTAAAAACTATACTGTGAGCATGTGTGTTTTTAATCACCATTTAATCATAATGGCACTATCGATGGCACCCGTCACAACACATGCAATAGCAGGTCAAAATAGGGAATTTCATCGGACATCACTTTTGTCACTGATGAGTCAGATTTGGTTATGTCCTCGTATATTTACCATCAAACATTTTAAACATTTTACTGAGGCCTTGAATGTTGTATGACCGTCGTATGTTGTAATTTTCGTAAGAAGAGCATGCTCGACTGTAACTCACCGATGTCGTTTCTTCTATTTCTAGTTCACGTGAGTAAATGAGGGAATTGGTTATTTGACCCAGAACTGAACGATATTCATGAAGCTGAATTTAAACTTCTTCGCCAAATTCACATGTTGTTATTTGCAAATCCGAGCAAAAATTCCGATTCATATGCATAAGAAACATATAAACAAAGAGGCAATCACAATTGGTGTCCATTGAGATACCTACTTCTCTCCAAATTAGGAAGCACAGCATTTCACGTTTCATTTTCTAAGTAAGCTTTCCTTTTTTAAAAAGTGTCCTGAATCCTTTCCTCAAATTTGCCGTGTAGTTATGAGCACATGATTATTTCTTAACGCCGCACCAGCAGTTTTGCAGCTATTCGCGGCTGTCGTGTAGGATAATGGTGTACATAGTCGACATCGTCAACTTTTTTCAAATTATATAGTACTCAAAGATGAACGTTCTTGGTTTGTGATGCAGCTCTATTACTGTGTTAATTCCGGTTCACTTTATACCATGATGCCACTCCGATCAATGCACGTGCTGTGAGTACTTCAAAAGGTTCCCCCAGGTTAATTCACTTTTCATTTCTTGAAAATCGTGTTCCATTATTTAAAGCTATAACTTCAGTCTTGTTGGTATGAACTGTTAGATTCCATAATGAATTATAACATTGCAATGATTTATTAATGTTTGTAAGCCACTTATCGTGATGTCTTGGCAATATCATCTGCAAACCGACGAAGAAATACAGTTTGGGATTCTGGATGGAGTTTTGTTAATCTTTGAAATTCTATTGTATTTGAACGCACAACGAATTCGTTAATAAAGAAGGAGAAAAGAAATGGACTTAAAATACTTCCTTGACGCGCACCAATATTACATACACGTTTCTCAGAAAGAAAGCCATTGTTGTGTAAACACGTTGAACTTTTTGATAAATATTTCTTAAAATTTCCCAATCTTGCTACACATGTTATGTTATTTACATGCAATAGTAAACATGTTATTGTTCTGTCAACAGGATAAACATAGCGATAATATACATAACCATGTTGATGTACCTATCTGTCTCTGAGTTCAATGTCAGAATATTATAAAGTGTTGAGTATCCGTGTCAAAACCTGTTTGATTCTCGGATGTTACTTGTACAATAGTATGCCCAAATATTAACCTCATGTTTGTTATACATGTGAATATTTTTTTTCCAAAGATGGATAAAAGCATTATACCAGTCCACGATGATAACTATTTGGATCATTGTCTGGCATTTCCTCGTTGTCTTTTGATATGCACTGTTTGTGTGAGCAACGTGAGACCATGTTCGTACTGTATAGGCAGCAGGTGTGTCTCAAAGGTCTAAGGCTCCACAACTGTCTGTGCGGAGTTGTATCCCTTGGTTTGAAACCCAGATTGGTTCCGATTGTGACTCTTGACCAGTCCCCATCACACCAATTCTCGTAGATTTCATGAAAGCGGTAAATGTTTATGACAAAGGTCATTTTGGTGTTTCCTCTATAGTAAGCTGGTACGCCGTCAGACTCCGTCACTACTACTACAACAACAACAACTACTACTACTACCAGTGCAATTCTTAGGCGAGCTGTTTTCCATGTACTGTGTGGTTGCTCAAAGCACTCATGGTCAATTTGATCAGTGTGCACTCAACAGTTATTCTCAGATCCCAAGCTGCCTGTTTGGCGCTAGAAGGTGAATTGTCATCTCATCCTTCCGGGTACCCATTCACTGCTGGGTGAACAGGGGCACATTTGAACAAAGTCACTTGCCCAAGGAGACACCCACGTGTTACATTAATAGTCAATAATATTGTTCAAAGCGGCAGTTAACTCACAGTGCCCTCGATATATACTGCTTCACTTCTTTCTCTCTGTTTAGCTCGAACTGAGACGACAGGACCAATCCCTTGCCAGACAGCTGCTGGGAATCCGCCGTGATATATCCCACCTACGTCTGTCCAGAAGCTGTGAGGAGCACGAAGATATGTTAGAGGATGCTCAGATTGGAATGGAGGAGTTTCACGAACTGTCACGAGTTTTAGACATACCATACGAGGGACCCTCCTCCCCAGTCCCCCTGAAACAGTTGGGCGTGACAAAAATGAACATCAGTATCCGTCGTTTCTCTACCTGCTGATGAGGCGAGACCGTGACATCCCATTGTAGAGGATGTCATCCTGGCAGCTTCACTGTTTTTAAGGTTAAATTTGTACACCATCCGTTCCTTGTGTCTATGTCATGTTCAGATCCACTTCTCAACAACGTCAACAACGTGGTGAAACCCATTTGTTTAGACAGCGGCAAGAAATAGGCCAATTATTGTGTGATGGCTGTGATAATACACGCACATTACCGTGGTCTCAAGTAGGGTGGTGCCTGGATATCTAGAGTGGAATCCATCTGGGTTCGTATCTTGACTAACACAAAAGGCGTTTAACATCAACGGTTATCCAACACATGCAATGGCATATGATCACATTGATATATCAGACAAGAATTGCCGTCTAACAGTATGTGTGTGTGTTCAACATGATCATGTGACTATCGGTCCTCTCAATGTTCACTGAAAGCATGTGACCTTCTGTAATAGGTTTTGTTCACTGAAAGCATGTAACTACCACCAGTGGTTTGTATTCAGGACGATCATGTGACTGCAATGGGAAGTGTTCAGCATGATCATATGACCAGCAGTTGTTATAGCCTTGTGTTCAATAAAAGCATGTGATATCAGTAATAGGTTTGCCTAAGAGAAAGGCTATTAAAAGGCAATTGGAGAAAATGTTCCTTTCAGAGAAGAGTTGATGGTCATTATCGCTTAGTTTCAGATAAAATTGATGGTCATCATCGCTTAGTTTCAGACAAAGTGGATGGTCATCATCGCTTAGTTTCACATAAAATTGATGGTCATCATCGCTTAGTTTCAGATAAAATTGATGGTCATCATCGCTTAGTTTCAGACAAAGTGGATGGTCATCATCGCTTAGTCTCAGACAAAGTGGATGGTCATCATCGCTTAGTTTCAGACAAAGTGGAAGGTCATCATCGCTTAGTTTCAGACAAAGTGGATGGTCATCATCGCTTAGTTTCAGGCAAAGTTGATTGTCATCATCGCTTAGTCTCAGACAAAGTGGATGGTCATTATCGCTTAGTCTCAGACAAAGTGGATGGTCATCATCGCTTAGTCTCAGACAAAGTGGATGGTCATTATCGCTTAGTCTCAGACAAAGTGGATGGTCATCATCGCTTAGTTTCAGACAAAGTGGATGGTCATCATCGATAAATGTCAGACAAAGTGGATGGTCATCATCGCTTAGTTTCAGACAAAATGGATGGTCATCATCGAAACGTTTCAGACAAAGTTGATGGGCATTGTCGATACGTTTCAGGCAAAGTTGATGGTCACCAGCAATGTATAAGATAGTGAAACTAATGACAGAAAATCTGCACATTAAGGGTTCAGAGACATATCCGGAATTTCTTCGTTTGTGTTTCTGTTTCATGTATTTTGATCAATCGCAGTTAATTGTTCTAACTGGGTACATACAGTTTAATGCATTACACTTAAAACCTAATACTTCCCACCTATTGATGATGCTTACTCTAATTCAAATACATTTTATTTCATTGCTACTGGGCCATCGGTTATTGGCTTAGCTGACTCTAACTGAATGTTTTATATTCGGGAGGAATAATTCATCTGGTAGCCAAAGACATAATTTGACAAATTTCCTTCCACTGATTTACCCACCTGAGCTGGAAATAAAAGAGACCAGTGAAACCTCCTCATCTGTTTCATATTAAAATCTGTGTACGAATATTGTGAGAGACAAAGATCTATCCACAAGTCTGTATGGCAAGAAGGATGACTTCAATATACCAGTAGTCAACTTCCTTTTATGTCCAAAAATATTCCAGCAGCCCCAGCCTTTGGTGTCTATCGCGTATGCTCTTTCAACTAGGATTTCAACGAGCGTCATGCGAGACACGAGATTTCTCATGATTTTGGAAAAGGTTAATCGCTTTTATTTTTTGGCATTATAGAGCAACATCCCACACCATCGGTTTAAGATGAGCCGAAACATCCACTCTAAACCACTGAGCCTAAACACACAATCTAAGTAAAAAACAATAATTCTTGACATCATTTGTTGTCTGTTCGGTGATGGCTAGATCACTAATTGTTCTCAACTGACAGCCAAAAGAAACTTTACCACTTTAAAAATGAATTTGCAAAAAGTTAAGAACACAAGTTTAAACTAAATCAATGCAAAACACAACAATGCCCTGTGCAGACACTGACACATATCCACAGCACGTTTTGTTGTGTAGAATATGCGAAAAGGTTAAAAACACGTGCCGTTTGGACAGCTTAAACTACACGTGCCATAATGGTATATACATTATACGGACGGCATGTCAGTCACTCACACTGATAAAAGAAAACCCACAGAAATACCACGACTGACAACCTGAGTGGGATACAGATGGGAGCCACCCATGCCCACATTGACAGAACTTTTGGTTGTTCCCGTGTTGCTGTAACTAACCTGATGCAACGTAACAGACAGACCGGGAAGACATGAAACAGGCCAAGAACAGACAGACCCAGGGTAACTACGCCCAATATAGACCGGTACTTGTTTACTTTGCATCTCCGGAATCTATATCCTGACAGTGATGTCATCAATAACGAATGCCTTAGGGGATATGGTTAGTCAACAGACAATGGCCAGGCCCCTCGGGGCTCAAGGAATTTGGTCTTACAGACCCTACAGAGAACAGTTATTGACTGCGCAACATCGACTGACAGAGGGTCGTCTTCGCTGATGAAAGTTGGTTCTGTCTTAGTCTGTCTCACAGTCCCCGAACCATATTAGTTTCCTGTCCGCACAGCCCTTTCGTAAATGCAAAAACTCTGAATGAAGTCCAGATTTTCTTCAGGTTCTGAATCTCCCTTCTCCCATTTAAATGCAGTTATTTGTTCAATCAAAATGATATATTTTCAGAGATAAAAGTTAGTCTAGTTCTGTCTGTTCAGAGCTGATAGAAGACAGCTCACCGCCGAGAGATCGAACGGCACCATGTTCGGGAGCTCGTGTCGTATGGTGGAGGAGGTGTTATTGTGGGGGGAGGAATTTGTAGGCAGGAGAGACCATCACTGGTCATCGTTAACGGAAATATGACCGCTCACAACTAAGGTTAGTAAAAGGTGAACAAGTGAACGAGGCAGCAGTAAAATATCCGTGCACAGCTGTGTAGAGTAACAGTCGCTCCCTGTCCTTCCCGTGGGGGTTATTTCACGCGATAAACTGAACTTCGAGGCGAACGTGCAGTGTGAGGTTTCAAATATAAAAGTGAAATGAAACGGTAAACGAGCTCTAATCACTTATGTTTTTCTTTATTCCACCATGACGAAATGTTTTTTTTCAATATGATCTCCTTTGACTTCAATACATCTTGTCCATCAAAGCTCAAGCTCCGTTGTCTCTGTCCTACAGAAGTGTTCCTCGGGCAGGTCTGGTTATGTCCTCATCTACAGCTGCAGCCACTGTACCGTACACAGGAGCATTGACCAGAATCAATGGCACATCTGAACGCATTCGTGACCAACTCGTGGTATTCCGGGACAAGTCGGTTACGGAAGGGGGCGAGTGGTGACGAATGATCTGAACGGAGCGTTCTTCGACGTTTGACAGCTTCCGTCACCTATCGGACCCGTGAAGCTCAGGGTCTCCAGCAACCCATGCTTGCTGTAAAAGGCGACGATGCTTGTCGTAAGAGGCGACTAACGGGATCGGGTGGTCAGGCTCGCTGACTTGGTTGATGCATGTCATCGATCCCAATTGCGTGGATCGATGTTCATGTTGTTAATCACTGGATTGTCTGGTCGAGACTCGATTACCTACAGGCCGCCGTCATATAGCTGGAATATTGCTGAGTGCGGCGTTAGACAACAAACAAACAAACAAACAAACAACTGTCACCTAGCGTAGTTCTGTGATATAGCATTGCACACTGATAGGCTGACCTCGCTGTAGATATTTAATCACGATTATCACCTTACTGTCCCAGAAAACCAACTCAGTCCACCCACTTGTACTTCTTTGGTAGGGGGAGGGGGGTGATTTTTGACTCTGAATTGAAGGGACGGACCCAAGTCTTATCCTGGGTTACACTTTGATCAAACATTTATCAGCATAATGATGACACATTCAGTCGGGTCAGTATCTGAGATAGTGTCACGATTTTGCTCATGTGGAGTGTGTCAGTTAAGATGGACTTCACCGACCCCTAACTGATCCCATTAGTGTCAGCCATATGCTGAGTTTTAACACGTGGGTGAGCCGTGGTATGCGGGGGCATCCTCCACTTGAGCAGCAGACGTGTCGTCGTCATTACGACCACACCTGAGGTCAACTTCTTTGCTACTTCTGCCTGGCTTAAACTCAACAGTCCATTTTTTTAAAAGTTGAATATGAAGGGCAGATATCTCCTCGCGTGCTTTTCATATCTCGTTTGTTTACTTTGGTCACGTGTCCTTGTATGAAGGTATTTATTCGTAGCTCTTTTCTCAGTCTGTTTGTTGTTTTATTATTTTTTCAGTTCCTCGAACCCTGTCAAATTCTCCCGTTGACATAGAGAAGACAGATGCAGTTATATGAAGGGCAGATATCTCCTCGCGTGCTTTTCATATCTCGTTTGTTTACTTTGGTCACGTGTCCTTGTATGAAGGTATTTAATCGTAGCTCTTTTCTCACTCTGTTTGTTGTTTTATTATTTTTTCAGTTCCTCGAACCCTGTCAAATTCTCCCGTTGACATAGAGAAGACAGATGCAGTTATAAGTCTGTAACATAGTGTTATGTATTACCAGAGATGTTCCTTCTTCATACACATTGTGGAATCTAACTGTATTTAGCACCGCTAAGTCCATCATCAAAAGCAAGCCTTGCAATGTTTAGTTATGCCGACCTATTATGACGTCACAGTGCACCTTCTGACGCAAAAGATATGACATCATAGTCGAAAAAAAAAACCAGCCACATTTCAAGCACTTCCTCGTCCCTCAAACTTCACATAGAATCTCAGTCGATTCCAAACGTGTTCCTGCTCAAAATGCATTGCCACGCACACGTTGATTATTACAGTGGACACCAGCTCTGCATTTTGTAACATATATTTATACATATCTATTATTTCAAAATCCTGTCAACAATGATTGAAAAAAGCATACATTTTAATGAATGCGGTCGTCAAATCAGCTGTTTTTGAGTCAGAGGTGGTTATTGCGATTTGAAACCTTTGAACTGACTAATCAGAATCGAGTATTTCTCAAATTCATTGTAAAATTAATCATGCTTGGCAAAATGTCAAACCTGATATGAGTCACTTTCATGAAGAGAGTAAATTCATGTTTAGTTGCAAGTTTGGAAAGACCTTTCATTTCTGAACTGTTTTAATGGATGCAAACGATAGTGACTCATTGTGACAACATAATAAATGCACTTTATTAAAGATATTCACATTTATTAAATCTTTTGGCCTAATTTAGTGGTGACATTGACCAAAACAGTCTCGTCCCAAGTTGAGCGTTGCTTTCGACACAACGTAAAATCCTTCTTGACTATATCTGTTTACCATCATATAAATCTAGGAACCGCAATCCATATCCAAAATATTAGTTTCTTCTGTACTTTTCTTAATTGTAAGAGAAATAAATGTTCCAAACTTAGGCGTCCATACTGTTAGTGAAGCCAACACTTTCGTTACGATATTAACTTCCCCAGTCTGC